CAACACAGTTCTAGGCTGCATAGACAGAGGGATAGAATCAAGATCACGTGAAGTCTTGATCCCACTTTATAATGTCTTGGTAAGGCCACACTTGGAATACTGCATTCAGTTTTGGTCACCATGATGTAGACAAGATGTGGAGTGCAGAGAAGAGCAACCAAGATGATTAGGGGACTGGAGGCTAAAACAGATGAAGAACGGTTGCAGAAACTGGGGATGTCTAGTAGTTTAATGAAAAGAAAGACTAGGGGAGACGTGATAGCAGTCTTCCAATATCTCAGGGGCTGCCACAAAGAAGAGGGAGTCAAACTATTCTTCAAAGGACCTGAGTGTAGAACAAGAAGCAATGGGTGGAAACTAATCAAGGAGAGAAGCAACTTAGAACTGAGGAGGAATTTCCTGACAGTTAGAACAATTAATCAGTGGAACAAATTGCCTCCTGAAGTTGTGAATGCTCCAACACTGGAAGTTTTTAAAAAGATGCTGGATAACCATTTTCTGCCTAAGCAGGGGGTTGGACTAGAAGACCTCCAAAGTCCCTTCCAATTCTGTTATTCTATGATTCTATGATTCTTGGACCTCCTGAAGAGAATGGGCATGAATTCCTTAAATCACAGCAAAAACAGGAATTGGATTTGGGAGATAGGCGCTTGATAAGGTGTCTGGGGGTGGGTATGAAAAAATTAAAGCTGGAGAGTGACTGACTGAGGTTCCATCTCTCTTTTACATGTCGCAGAAGTGTGTAAGTCATCTTTATCGGTACAATCTACCTGTCCAATATAGTCTTCCTTGTTTTAAACTCCCGTCCTCTACAGAATCTGATTGCCCGTTTTTATTTTTAAAATGTTGGTTTAAAACAATTTTGTTTTGCTAGAGATTTGAAAGATAACGATGTTAAAAGAGCCCAGGTTTGGGCTATTGATTCGTTTCATTTACATGAAGTATTTATTTCCTAGCATTTAGAAAATACGAGACATGCATTTATTAATTATATATTTTTAAAATCTTGTTTTGTACTGCCAAGAGTCCGAAGTCTTGAGATAGGGGCAGGATAAAAATGTAATAAACAAATAGTCGAAGAAAAATAAAAGCACATTGCAAAAAAGAGAGCTAATTGGAAACATACAATGGAAACCATACAGTAACTACAAGAAAAATGTAGAACTGGATTTAATGCATAAACTGCTTTTGAAAACAGTAAAAAAAATTATAATACAAAACAAAAAAGCTGAAATTAGAGTGGATAAAGTCATATATTGGCTTCTAATCTTCCACCAGAACTTCAGTTAAAGTTTCTATGTTCCCCAGCTGTATAGCAATTTGGCCTAAAGATTAAGGAAAGGGGGAGGAGGCCTGGGAAGGAAAATTATGGTCGATCTGAGCAGATGTGACAAATTCACTTGTACTCAGATTAAAATTGAGGAAGAGCATCCCAAAGTCTGTGAAAATCGAGAAGATAACAAGGAGGGGTGGTGGAGGAGAATTTCTGGTGAAATGTCAGCTGCACAAGGAAATAAACAAAAATAAAATGTGGTTTTGTAAAAAAATAATAATAGTAATCCATAAAAACCAGATCTTTAAAAAAATTGCTTATGAGCCAAACATCCTGCCCTAAGGGGATAATTTAAAAAAAAAAAAAATCTGGGATCGGCTTCAAAACTGGAAGGAGAGACATTAAAAGCAAAAAAAAAAAAAAAGATTTTTGGTCAAACCGATCTGTAACCATGAGGGATCAAAAAATCTTCAAATGGTTTTTTTAACATTTAAAATCCCAGTGAAGTTATCAAATGGGCTCTGGGATTTAAATCAAATCACCATCAAATTCAGTTAGGGCTCTAAAATTGTATGCCTAAATTACTTTTAGGGGATAATAAGTAAGCCCTGGAAACCAGTTTCCCATTGTTCTTAAAAACTGGCATTTTTCAAGTCCCAGAATATATATCCCATCAACCCAAGTAGACTCAATGTATTCTTTCCACTAAATCATCATGCAGGTAATCCTTGACTTACGACCAAAAGTGAGTCCGCAATTTTGGTCGTACGTTGTGACGATTCTAAAATGAGTCACCACATAACCAGACCTGATTTTACAATCTTTTTTTGCTGCAGTTGTTAGGTGAATACTGCGGTCATTAAGTGAAGCAATAGTTCATGAGGGGCTGCTTGTACCAAAAATTGGAAGTAAATGCCAGTTTTTGATAAAAACATCATAAATCATGATAACGTTGACTGCAGACTATTGCAAATGACCCTGAATGCAGGTGCCCAAAATGCAGTTATGTGACCACTGGAAGTGGTGTGGATGTTGGAACTTCAAATCTGGGTCATAAATAGCTTTTTCAGGATCTGTCATAACTTCAAACAGTTGCTAAGCAACTGGGCGTAACTTGAGGCCTACCTGACTTGGCCTTATTGTACAAACTCTCCATTGTGATTTGTCAAAGCTGGCTAAAACAAATTCCATCTCAATGCAGTTTTTCTCCGCCTTGACAGTTTTAAGATGCCTGGTCTTGAGTAATTCCCAGAGTTCCCAGTCAGCCATGCTAAGCTGGGGAATTCTTGGAGTTGAAGTCAGGGGTGGGTTTCTCGCCCCGTTCCAACCGGTTCAGTTGGAACAGGACCAGCGGCGTCCTCGTGCACGCGCGCAGTGCACGCATGCATACTAGCGTCTGTGCGATGCTCCAGCTGCTCTTGGAGGATCGCACAGGCGCTGTATGCGTCCTGCGCATGCGTGGAAGCGCAGAACTCATCAAAACCGGGTAAGGAGCGCGGGCGGGAGGGCGGGCCCTTCGCCGTTCCCGGAAGTTACTTACTTCCAGGTTCGCCGACCAATCGGTTCGCAGGGACCGCCGCGAACCGGTTGAAACCCACCCCTGGTTGAAGTCCACATGCCTTAAAGTTGCCTAGGTAGAGAAACACTCTCTTTCTGACCTAGGCTTCCTCAAAAAGTACGAAGCAGATTCCTGGTGCCGACAAAACCTCTTTTATTAAACAAATGTGAATTCCTCTCATTCACATTCAGCAAAGGCCTGTCAAACAGTCTTCCAAAGGTGAATTTATGACCACAGATTTTATCTATTTTGGAAAGCTGCCATGTAAATATTTTCCAAACGCAGTGCTGTGCAAGGAAAGACTGGGCACAGAGTCTCTGAGATTCACGGACAGATCTTCACACTCCTGAAATGAATAAATTGTTTCCCACTCCCCTTTCACTCCTTTTTTATTTTCTATGGGAGGGGCCATTCACTGTCCATCTGTGGCTTTACTCCCAAGTTGACCCTGATTTCTTAGCTGTTGTTGTCTTCTGGCAGCTCTGCCCATGCGCACACGCATGCGCACACAGCTCCAGCTGTTCCTCTGCCTCACTGCTGTCTAGCTCCGAAGGCAGCTGAGAACAGCCAGACGGCCCTGGCCCCATCTCTGCCTCCGACGCAGAGCCCTCATCAGAGACTTCCCCAGCCTCCAGGCCTGGCCCATGTTCCTCCCCAACCTCCTCACTGTCCGCCTCTGCCGTCACCTTCGCTGGCTGCTGGTGTGCTAGAACACTTAGTTACGTTCTGTGTATTCTTTCTTTCATCTTGTATATTTCTTTCATCTCTTTTTACAGCTGGACTTTTTACAGTTTTAGTCATGTCCGTATTTTAGACTTTTGACAGATGTCGGTGCTCCAGAAAAACAGAGCCCTTTTACAAGCCACGTTGTGACGGCTTCCGCCTGATCAAAGTTTTCTCCTCCCTTCAGATTCAATCCACCTTTATGTGCAAAAAGGTTAAGAAATCATAAAATTCGTTTGGTGTTTCTAGGCGCCCTAAAAACTCTAAAAACGTTTGGTACAATTTTTCAAAAATCTGAGTGCCTATATTTATATTATAGGCACGAGAGAACATAGTCTGTTCTGCATCAGTGAAAGTTTCCCATTTATAATTTAATTAATTGATTAATTATATAATAAAATTATATAAAAACTATTAAACAAGAGATAAGAAAAATTAAGATTTTCTTACGGAAAATATTTTCTTAAAATAAGAAAAAAAACAACAGAAAAAGTAGTAAAATATTGGGACTTGCACCCTTTCTATCCAATAACCATCTTATTGTTTCCTCTTTTTTTCTTCTCTTACTTTGTATTTCCCTTTCCCTTCCTTTTTAACCCTTTTGTAACTCCCAAATCCATAAATCATCAGTTCAGCCTTTTCTCCTTTCAACAAAAAATCCTTAGAAGATTTCATATATATATGTGTGTATGTGTATGTGTGTATGTATACACACACACACACACACACACACACACACACACACACACACACACACACACACACA